TAACCTCCCTGGTTTTGTTGCAGAAGGAAATAAGCAGCTGATGTACTAACCTGCCCTAGTTATACTTCTGTCATTGCAGACAGATCCACTAAAAAATTGTGGATTCCTCTTCAGCTCCTCTGGCCAGAGGCTATCAAGGACAACGGCAGAGGGTGAGGAGACAGTAAAAGTCACCAGAAAGATAGCAAACCTCCAGCTAAAGGGCAGAAGGAGATATCGACCATATCATTAGAAGTTAAGTCTGCCCACCTGGGGCCAAGTTAAGGCCCTATGCACCAAGGGAAAAGTAACTCTACTAGTGAGTCTGTGCTTATGACTGGACCTTGGGACCATAATACTTTCATTCATTCATCTGAAGGGACTGCATTTAATTTTTCCTTGGGATTTGAATCACTTCCTATTTGCATAGAATATCATCATAACATTTGTGTTCCTATTAAAGGGCAAATATGGGCTTAATCATTTGGGTGTCTTTTCAAGCTATACTCTAGATTTTTCTAACTAATATAATAATGTAACCAATAGTACTAGACATAGTTTGGATCCCTGTTCTTAGTGGCGAGTATTACATACAATGCTTCCAGTGTACTAACATTTTTCATTATGTTTATAATTTTCTTGCTTATAGGATGCTCATGCATCAGATGACAATTAGATGTATCTGCAACATCTCAAATCAAAACTCTGGATATCCTGCTTTTAAAAAATAAAGTGTGTGGGGGGGGGAGGGGGAATGTCCGAACACAGTCCAAGAATGGAGTCATGTGAGGAGAATTCTGAGTGCTTATAAAAAAAAAACTTCAAGAAAACAAAACGAGTCATATGACCTCAGTGTCTTCAAAAAACACGTAATTATTATTCTTGGATTATGCTTTCATGACCATGTCAAGTGTAGGGGATGGCATGAGTTTAGTTCAGATCATTCATTGCCATAGGCTATTGCATAAGACTTTAGTCTGCCTTGTTTACTAGCGCCGTTCTTCCAGGTCCCACTACTTCTAGAGTAGTAAACATCCTATAAACTACATTTGGGAAGCAGGATAATAGTCAGGTACAGACACTGAAGGTAAAACATACATAACATACGCACCCAGGTCACTGTGCTTCTCTAGACATAAGATAAATGTACCCTGAAATGTACCATTCCATTCATTCAGAAAACTACCTTCATTCTACTGAAGCATTATCTGGTAATTGTCCACTGTAGTTCAAACAGTATGGCAGAAAGGAGAGATCATTTGTTTGGATTGGAAATCATGAGCTAAAGCTTTAGAGGGGATAGAAGAATAGATCCCCCATTTCTCCAATCCCTACCTTTCATGTGAATATGGCATCCATTTAAATGAACATGAGGGCCTATAAACTGAAGAAGGCCTTTCAGGTTTCCAGGTTGTGTGCTGAGGCAAACTGGCCTACCTCTGACAGGAGTAACACACACCACTGTAAGGAGGCAAATCTCCATGAGCTTCTGGCATTTTCTTACTCTACTGAAAAGATGACCATCCTCTGCTCTGGAAGACTGGATGTGTGAGAAGCTGGGGTGGAACGTTGGAGGTTGGAGGGATGCTGTCTGCTCTACACCTGGCTCCCTGAGCTCACTGTCCCAAAGTGAGATCCCACTGTGGGCGCTGACGTCAAGCTGCCTCCTTTGCCTCATGTGAGGAATGTGGGTTTGGAGAGATAGTGACCCAGAGTTCCCTGCCAACCAGAAGTGTCACTGAAACATAGGAGGCTATTTTCCCATCCTATAAGCCAGGAATACCTCAGTTCCTTCACAGTTTGTTACAGTCAATCCTTTCGTAGCTTATGAGTCAGAACCAGAATTATGATCCGCAACCTAACCCTTTCACACAACAGGGCTGGGTGTAGCTCAGTGGTGGATTGCTTGCCCAGCATGAGAAAGGCACCAGGGCTCAGTCTCTAACACACAGAAACAAACAGAAATGCTAGGCTAAGTCCATTCCCACCCCTTGAGTTTTGGGGACAGGCTGACTTCAACATCCTTCCCTGTTTCCACTTCCTGAGTGCTGGGACTATAGGCATGTGACACCACATCTGACTATAAAATGTTCTTTTAAATGTACCTGGACAATTATGTAGTTATATTTTATGTAATTTCTAACCCTTGTATTAGCTAATAGCTAATAAAAGCAGGCTTTTTTAAGTAATGAAGTTTCCTCAAAGTTCAGAGTAAAAAATGAATGGTATCGGTTGTTTTTCCATTTTAGTGACGTAAGCATTTTTTTTTTCCAAGACAGGGTTTCTCTGTGTAGCTTTGCGCCTTTCCTGGAACTCACTTGGTAGCCCAGGCTGGCCTGGAACTCACAGAGATCCGCCTGGCTCTGCCTTCCGAGTGCTGGGATTAAAGGCGTGCGCCACCACCGCCCAGCTGACTTAAGCATTTTTATGGTCTAAAACTAAACTCTTCAAACATTAAAGACCATGCTTATCAATATTAAAAGAAATCAACTTAATGAGAAGACTCAACAAAGATTCTCACAAAGACCATTAAACCCATGGTCTGTGTCTTGATGCAGCTACTCCTGCAAACACCTTCACAAAAGAAAGGACTCTGTGCTTACAACAGTCCATCCTCATCAGCCCTGTTCTACACCAATCCTTTACTGTTAATGACACACAGAGAAAACACAATACAATAAACCCACCATCGAAACTGCCACTGCAAGAGTTTAGAGTAACTAGGATTGCTCTGGAAATTGTGTTGTCCATCAGCGAAGGTGGAAGCAGTGGTGCCTTCCTAGCCTGAGTACTGGGGGCAGAGGAAACTGTTAGCAGAACTCTGTGCATACAAGAAAGGATATGATAGGTCACTGTGCACTGGCACAGACCATTGTCCAAATGAGCTGCTTTCATGGAAGGCATGTTGCCCTATTCTAGAAGGAGAGAACTATTGTTACTCAGACCCCTCGAGAGCAGTGGTTCTCAACCTTCCTAATGCCGAAATCCTTTAATACAGTTTCTCATGTTGTATCAACCCCCAACCGTAAAATTATTTTGTTGCTACTTCATAATTGTAATTTTGCTACTGATATGAATCATAATGTAAATATTTTTTTCCAGTGGTTTAGGGGGTCATGACCTACAGGTTAAGAACCACTTCTCTAGAGGATGGGTACATATTTCTAAGATGGCTGAATTTATGGGTCGACCTAGCAAAACCCCAGTATCCAGATATTTGGCCAAGTTATCGTGGATGTTTCCCCAAAGGACTATAAAGTTTTATACCAAGTTTTAGTAAGACAGATTGCCTTGTATACTTAGGTAGGCATCATTCAATCAGTTGAAGGATTTCATGGGAACTAACCCGGAGTTCAGTGAGAAGACCAACTATGAATCTTAAATGTGATTTCTCGTGGGTTACCAGTCTACTACCCTCCTCTGAAGATCTGAGGTTTGCAAAACCTCTGCAAGTGTATGACCAGTTCCTTAAAAGAAGTTACATTTGCTTTGTTTCTATACGCACACACCAATAAGCATACCCTATTGAGTCTCGTACAACTTCTCATCCATACATTAAACAATATTTTTGTTTATAAAATGTACTAACTAGAACAAGAAGAGTATTTAACCTGAGGTTAAATACCTAAAGTTTATGTTACATTATTCAAGGGCCTGCCTATACACAATCTACCAAACATATACTACACACCTATGCATTATACACGCATCTCTATACAGAGACAGCAAAGCACTAAGGCATGAATGTCCATATCTCATTGCTACAAAGCTGCTATGTTTTTTTCCAAGCCACAGGCTTTTCTAATGCCCTCAACAAACCCTCAGAGCCATAAGAACTAACTTTCATGCCTGTGTCCATTCTGAAAAAGTTGCCTCAAAGACAAACAGGTGTGCTGCATACTACAAATAATAAGACTTCATAGCAGAACACAGAGATGCTCTACAGCAGCAACAGAAAAACAACACATTTACAGTATGCTTTTAACAATGTTCTGAAAACTATAACTGGTACTAACAATAACTGTAACCTTACATGTAAATACAGTAACAAACTTAGCAAGCAATCAGAACTGTACTACTTAGAGTATAAAGCACTCCGTCACACAGTGGGTGGTGTCCTAAAGCCTAGAAAATAACTAAAATTGTAACCAGTCATAAAGCTGTTCACAGCTTTGAGTCAGTTTATGAAGAGATATATCTTATAAATTTAAAAATATCTCAGATGTGTTTGAAAATAATTTTTAAAATACAAGAATCAAAACACATTCATAAAGGCAAAAATATAGAGGCAACTTAAGTAGCTTACAACTGAGATTCACAGATAAATAAAAATGCATCCCCTCTATTCATTAGAATGCTAAATATGTCTCCATTAAAATGAGGTTTACAGGGGCTGAACAGATGGCTCAGTGGTTAAGCCACTAGCTGCTCTTCCAAGTGACCTGAGCTCTATTCCAAGCACCCACATGGTGGTTCACAACTATCAGGGGATTCTGTAGCCTCCACAACCACCAGGTATACAGGTAGTGAACAGATATACTTGCAGGCAAAATAAGCGTACACCAAATAAGCCACATCAAAGTGATAGCTTAAAATTAAAAAAAAAAACCACACCCATATACATAAATTATCTAAAAGAAAAAACAAAAAAAAAATGATTCAATTTCTTTAGAAAGGTGGATGTGAAGAACTTAACAGAGAAAGATAGGAAGCAAACTGAGGGGGAGGAAGTCAAGCTCTCTGTTTTTATACAATACACTCTTACTTTTAAGAATACAGAGAAATCTGCAATGGGAAAAAAGTACAACTACCCCACAAGCTGGAACTAGAGAAGCATTTCCTCTTTGAGAAGACGCAACTGAAATATTTCCAACACAGAAGCTTTTCTCACATATCCGGCTTCTCAGAGGTGTCTCGATTTGATAGCAAAATAAAATCACAATAAAGGGGAGCAAAAACAGGGGAGAAAACCAAACAATTCTCTCTGACCAAGAGGATGCATAGTATTTTTTCATACTTACCACTGTGCCAAGAAACTGAATGCTCATGTTTCCACCCGCTTCTCGAGAAATACACTAAAAGAAAAAAAAATAGTATAAAATAAAATTGTATCCACGGGGGGGGGGGGGGGGCGCAGGGGGGCGGGGCAATGTACTGAATGTGCACAATCACTAAACAAAAACTGCAAATGCCCATCAAGCAGTGAATGAGTGAATAAAGGATAGTTCTTCTACACCCCAGAACACTTGGCTTAGAAATGAGGGGAGCATCAAAAGCATCAGAGCCGAAACCAGTCACAGAGGGCAGGGCACATGGCCCCCCTTGGTAAGAAAGTCTGGACAGGTGAGCCTGGGGATGGCGAATCTCTCCCTGCCACAGGGAGAAGGGCTGGGAGAAAACCCTGCAATGATAACTGGTGTGGGTTTGGTTTGGAGAGTCTAAAAATCTAAAATCAACCATGGTGCCAACTGTCCACTCTGTGAAAAGACTAAAATCATTTGAAATAAAACTCCAAATGGTAAAATACAGTGTGCAATACTCCAGTAGCTACTGAAGTGAACTGATGTTCTTTAAGACAGCAACAAGACCAGTGAGGCGGTTCAGCAAGTACAAGTGCTGGCCACACATGCCTGGCCACCTGAATTTGATCTCTGGCACCCGCTGTGGAGCACAGAACCAACTCTCACAACTTGTAACTTGATCTCCACACATGCACATGGTACATGTGTGCCTGTACTCACATCATAAACTACTACTACTACTACTACTACTACTACTAATAATAATAATAATAATAATAATAAGAAGAAGAAGAAGAAGAAGAAGTAACAATGAAAACAATGCAATTCTTTTGAAAGAGAAATAAAAAAAAACAAGTTGCCCCATACTAAACATATATCACTATATTACTCAAAGCAAATAAAACATTACTGTTACTATCTTACTCATTTGATCTTTTAAAAGTCAGAAATACTCCTGGAAAATGAATGCTAAATGGTGCACTGGAAGCAAGTTGCATATTCTTCAGCAGCCTCACCTGCAAAAAACTATCTGTTCAATCCTAACTTGCTCCTTCAAGTCCCCTGTGCTAGTGAGAGAGAACATGAGAGTGCAAATGAGAAAGTTCTGAGAAACACTGCAGGTTTTAAGGGTGGCCGAGTCCTGGAAGATGAATGGCGTATCAGTTACTTGTTGCTATAAACAAATACCTGGTGGGAAGCGACTTGAGGAAATGTTTGTTTGGGCTCAGATTATCATGGTGATGGAGACACAGTGGCTCTTGTCCGTGGTAGCAGAAGACTAAGACCCCATCCATGAGATGGTGATGCCCATTTAGGGTCAGTGTTCCCCCTCAGCTAATTCTCTCTGGAAAACCCTCACAGAAAGACCAGTTCTTAATCTAGTCAAGCTAACAATCAACACTACCCACTACAGAGTATTAATGGCTTCCCCTGCACTTTCAGTCCCTGTCCAGAAGCAGAGATTCATTAACACAGATCTCCAAGATCACTAGATTGATGGAAACTAGAGGGACCTCTTGACTCCTTTACTGTCGGAGGTCACAGAGGGGAAAAGAGGTTTCTAGAAAAATAAGTTTCTCCCCACCTACAGATACGGCCAACAGCTTAACTCCACATTGTTACTACCATGTTTAAGGCAGTGTGGTATGCATTAGGCAACCTTAAAATCATGTCATCATTTTGGTCCATTAATTTATTTCTAAGGATTTATACTAAGGGGGGAAATATTGGCTAAATAGGAAAGCAAAGCTACAAAAACATCATCAAAGGCAGTTCACAGAATCAAGAAATGCCAATAAAAACAATAGCAAAGACTGTGACACAACTTTTGGTGCATCCAGGAAGCCATTTAAAAACTTTGAATACATGGAAAATTCCATCCAAGTTGAATGACCTTACCTGAAATGCTTGGAACCAGAAAGGGCTCAGATTTTCATGGATTCTAGAACATCTACAATCTATCAGTTAATCATCCTTAATCCCAAACTCCAATACACAAGATGATGTTGGAGCAGTTTGCATCTTTGCTTGACAAATTGGGGATACTCTCTGTGTAATATATTTTAATACACACAGAATGAACCAAAGAGTATGAAAGAAATTCTAGAAATTAGAGCTTCTAGAAGACAGCACATTAGAAGACAGCTGTGTGTGACTCTGAGTCAGGGCTACAAGAGACAGAAAGGAAGAACAACAGAGTCATGAAAAAGATGACAGGGCAGGAGGAAAGTCATAGACTATGTGGAGAAAACCACTCCTGGCTCCATCTCCCACCCTGGCTCTTTCCAGTAAGAGAAGCCAGAGCTTAGGCTGTCCTACCTGGTCTTGTGGTTTGATGTGAGAGGGTCTGAAGACTGAAGCTCAGTGGCCTCTTATACAGCCTCTTCTTTCCTCAGGAGTGGAGCTCACTGAAAGCAATGAGATTAGGACCCCAAGTGGCAATCTGAGTGTTTAACTTGCTTCCATCTCTCTCTCTAATGCATTGGGCTTAGACATGAGTGAAGTCAATCAGATAACCCGGCTGCAAAGCTGTGTGGCCAGCAGTGGCTCCAGGTAGGCAAAGAAGAGAAGACCCTCAACTGAACGCAGCCCTGATGGGCAAGTAACTCCTGAGTGGCAGAGGCTAAGTAACAACCTAATTGTAAAGAAAGACGAGAGACTTGATGTCACCCGACCTCCCTTCCACTTGCTACATTCCAGTATCAGAGGACTCTGAAGTAAGCCACTACAACACTTGGTTAGTTTTTAAAAACATTTTTCCTAACTTTCTTTTAAAGTATGGAGGGAGGGGCGTCTTTACTATCTTTTACTATTGTTTCAACTTTATTACTAAGCATTTTTAGATTTTATTAAGTTAAACTGTATTTACCTATTTTTCTTTTTTATTATTTAATCAAAACTTTATCTGGCGCTCCCTTCTCTCCTCTGTAACATCCTGCCCATTCTTTGCATGGCTTTTCCTTAACCCTTCTTTTATTTCTTGTTCTTAAATGCCTCCTTAATTTCATTCATTCCTTTATTATGATTACTTTTACTTTGTTTTTAAAATTTATATCTCATGCTATATAATGCTGCCAGTTTCTGCATGTGTATGTATGATATGTGTGTTTGAGACATGGGTGGGGGCCAGAGGTTGGTGTCTTCCTCAGTCATACCCCACCTTGTATTTTAAGACAAAGTCTCTCCTTCAACCTGGAGCTCAATTATTTGGGTAAGATTGGTTAGATAAGCCTCCAGCCCCATCACAAGATGGTGCACACCGCTGTGTCTGACTTTTATGTGGGTGCCTGGGAAATGAACTCAGGTCCTCATGCTGATGTGGCACTTTACCATCTACGTCATCTCCCAAGCCTGGCAGCTTCCTTTCTGTGCTCACTGTGCTATCTTCATTGGCTTTAATGGTTTTGACTGTATTCAATATTTGGTTAAGTTTGGTATTACTGTTTCAGAAGTTTGTTTTCTCTTCTGTGAGTAATACCAGGTTTGTGCTCTCAAGAGAAGGTTGATCACTAAGAACTTGAAATAAAACCAAAAGGGAGATTGCATAAATTCCAACACAGAGACAACAAATGTGAAAAGGTAAGGTAATATGACTCCTCCAAAGGAGCATGACTGCAGTAACCAAATCCAAGGATACTGAAATGAAAGGATGACAGAAAAAGAATTCAAAGTCTAGGTTGAACATTGATCAATGATCTCAAAAATGTTCAAACTGTATAATGAAGTAAGGAATTCAATTCAGGGCCTGTGCAAGAAAGTCAGCAGCATGAATAAGAAATTCAGCAAGGAAATTAAGATTTGGGAAAAATTCAAGCAGGATGTTCAAAGTGAAAACTGAATTAATTAAATAAACATACTGGAAAGCATCACCAGTGGACTAGAGAAAGCAGAAGATAAAAGTTATCAAGAACAAAAGACAAAGTGAAGGAAATAGTATCTCAGACATTGATAAAGAAAAAAAGCAGAATTATCACAACTATCAAAAACCCAGAAACATGATCAAGATGCCAAATTCAGAATCCATGCATGGGGGAAAAAAGAGCTCAGATACAAAAGCTAAAGCCAGCTCCTGAGGAAACAGAGTTGCTGGAGTACCTGATTTCAAATTATGCATATAACAAAACAGCATACCACTGCCACAAAAACAGATATGGAGACCAATGCAAGGCTCAGAGCACCTAGAAACAAGTCCATAGGGCTGCAGCCAACTGCTATTTGGCTAAAGTGTTATTGTAGTTTAAATGTAAAATGTTCTTCATAAATTGTATTTGGAGATCTGGTCCTCAGACTATGGCACTTGGAACCTTTATGAGAAAGAGCCTCACTAAACAAAGTGGATCACTGGGGCAGGCCTCAGTTTCGTAGCCTGGCCCCATTTCCTGTTTGCACTCTGCAACCTCACAATGGACATGATGTGACCAGCTGCCTCACACCACTGCTACTACACTTTCCCTGCTTTGATGGATTATCTCCCTTCTTAAACTATAAACTAAACTCTCCCACCCCTAAATTGCTTCTGTCGGGTATTTGGCCAGAACAACAAGAAAAAAACAAATACAGGTGCCAGAGGCACACTGGAGAAAGGCAGCCTTTTCAACAAATGGCGCCAGGAAAACCAGATACCCATATGCACAAGAAAGGAGAGTCCAGAGTCTCACCGTGCACAAACATCAATTCAAAAGGGATCGCAGACTTTAAGATTGGAAAATTTGTTATCCCTAGGCGAAGTTATAGGATATGGTATAGACAAGAACTTCCTGAAAAGGACAACATTGGGCCAGAAAATAACAGCAAGAATTGGCAAATGGGTTTGTACCAAAAACCAACGGTGACAATAATGTGGAAACCCTTATACACAGTTGGTAGGAGAGTGAGTTAGTAAAACCAGCATGGAAATTAGCATGAAGTACCTCACAAAAGTAAATAAACCTCCCTAATTTGAAGCACTGTGTCCTACAGCAACAATATTCCTGGCTCTGTTCCAGGAAGAATCTAGGTCACTATATGCACAGAGACACCTGTTGACCCATATTCACTGCAGCACTATCCATGAT